AATTTACTAAGTAACTGACCAAGAATTTTTTGAGAATTTACGGATAATTAACTGAGTAATTTATAGAGAATTTATTGAAAATTTAACGAATAATTTATTGAGAATTTACAACCAATTCACTGACTGAGTAATTTTTTAAAACTTTTCTGCGAATTTACTGAGTGAAGAATTTATACAAAATTTTCTGAGAATTTACAGAGTAATTTACTCATAATTTACTGAGTAATTCACAAAAAAATTTCTGACGATTTTCTAAGAATTTACTGAGAATTTTGCGTGTAATTTATTGAGAATTTTACTCAGCAATTTACTGAGAATTTACCGAGCTATTTACCTCGAATTTACTACAACGTTAACGATAATTTACTGAGTAATTTGCTGAGTAATTTATTGAGAATTTACTGCGAATTGACTAAGAAATTTACTGATAAATTGTTAAGTTCTTCACGGGGCTAATTTGGTTGGAAATTACTAAGTAATTTATTGAGAATTTACTGAGTAAGTTACTAAGAATTTATTGACAATTTACTTAGACTTTATGGATTAATTTATTGAGAATTTACTTAGAATTTATTGAATAATTTTTTGAGAATTTACAGGAAATTTACTAATTAATGTTCGAATAATTTACTGAGAATTAACAAAGTAATTTACGAATTTTTTTTTTTGATAATTTTGTGAGTAATTACTATGAATTTACTAAGTAATTTTCCAAGAATTTTCTTAGAATTTATTGAAAATTTTCTGAGTAATTTATTAAATAATTTACAAAGTAATTTATAGAGAATTTAACGGGTAATTTGTTGAGAATTTTCTATGAATTTATTGAGAATTTACGGAGTAATTTTCTGAATAATTTACTAAGAAATTACTTTGAATTTACCAACAATTTATATAGAATTTTCCGAGAATTTATTGAATAATTTACTCATAATTTACTGATTAATCCACAAAAAAATTTCTTGCATTTTTTTTTTATAGTATTTACTCAGAATTTTCCGATAAATTACTAAGAATTTGCTGAATAATTTATAGAGAATTTTACGTCTAATTTACTGAGAAATTTCCTGAGTAATTTAGTGAGAATTTACTGAGTAATTTACTAAGAATTTACCAATAATTTACTGAGTAATTTACAGAGAATTTATCAAGTAATTTATTGACATTTTACTGAGAATTTACTAAGTAATTTACTGATAAATTACTGAATAATTCACTCATTAATTTACTTGTAATTTACTGAGAATTTAAGGAGTAATTTATTGAGAATTTACTCAGTAATTTGCTTAGAATTTATTAAATAATT